CCCGTTACGTGTCTGCTTGCACAGAAGCATGTCGCGATGTGAATCTCCCCATCCAATTCTTACTCGATGACACACATTTCGTGTGTTTTATGTGAGCAGTTCTGTTCGAACAGTTGGAGTAGAGAATATTGTAAGTTACTGCTAGCAAAACAATGCGAAATATGTAATTATTTTCGGTAATCTGGACACTTTTGGTAATCTGACACACCTTTGGTCCCATACCTGTCGGATTATCAAGGGACAACTGTATTTATTTAATCTTAAATGCTAATTTTATTTATAAAAATCATAGATAATTTTTTATTGTATTTATTTTCAGAAAACATTTAAAATACAAATTTAAAATGTGATTTAAAAATGCAATAATCTTCAACTGATTTGAATTCCATCAGAATCTAATATTATCGTGCAGATTACACTGAATTTGATTCAGAATTACATTCACATATGATATAAAATATGAAATTTGTTTTAAAGAAACTGTTGTGCTTTTTCTAATTCTACTCAGAGATCATCTGTTAATTACTTATACGATTTAAGAGAGGGAGAGGAGTTGCTAAAAGTACAGTATATCATTATACAGGATGGAAAGGGACATTTTCTATGCAGACTTTTTTAGTGGTATTAATTGCATACAAATCTGTTCCTGTAAACCTATTTACTAGAAAATATTTGTATAACTTGTTTAAGCCATTTATTCAATGTCAGGGGAGTCTGAAAACTATTTTACACATAAAGGGGAGAGGTGCCAAAGTACGTCATTATACATAACTGGAGGGAGGGGGTCAGAAATGGCTTATAAACTGTATTCATAATTAATGGACAACCCCACTTAACAGTGAAAATTATTAACTATTTATTGGTACCCATTTTCTTTTCTGCATATTCTCCCATACAACTTGGCAAAAAACAATTATTCTGTTTTGATAACTGCCAAGTTGGAAGAACTATACATTATATTGAGTGCAATGACTGCTACCACAATTCACATCATCACATCAATACCCGAGCAGCATTGGGGCAGTGCTATTTTAACATATTGCAATTTTGCCCACTAGACTGGTGATTGACATTCCTGTTCTATCTATTCACATCATTTCCCAATACAATGTGCAACTGTTGTGAATGACTGACTATTCATGTGATTTCATACACTCATATCAATGACCATAACATATATAATTGAATATATATTATATATCAGTTATCAATTAATTACTTATTCAGTATATATAATTGAAAAAATAGTACTGAGCTAATTCTGCAATAAATATAAGAATTATATATGTATTTTATAAATATAGGCTGTATAAATATATATATATACATAAGAATTAATTTAGTATTATTTGTTAAAAATCTGTTTTTGATACTAATAAAAAGTGATCCAATTTTATGATAATTTTGAAACAAAATATTGATAAGAATTTTTTTTAATATTCAAATATGAATTAATTATAATTTTAATAAGTTGGGGTAATATTTTGATATTAGTACTGCCGATAGAGAAGATGGTTCCATAATGCCACTTATCCGAGCTGGTTTTAACAGGGTAAAGAAATATTATTATTATTTCAATTTTAAATTAATTCTTATTAACTGTTTTTAAATATTTTCAATTGGACATTTAAATTCATTTTTGTAGTTTATCTTTTATTAACATTTTTTTGTAACTATATTTTCATTTTTAATTATAGTGGCTTCTTGAAAGTTGCAATCTTGGGTTCTGTTTAAATGAGCTTATACAATTAGAACATAATGAGATTGTCATGCAGTTGAAATTGAGAGCAGCTCAAGCACTTTTTACTGCCTTAGATAATTGTCGAGATGGAATAATCATTACTAGTGCCAATCATGATGTACAGGTAAATATTTAATTTTAATATATATATATATTTAAATTATCATATATATATATATATGCATTTGCTTTTTAATTCAATGTTGATCTAAAGCAGTAGAAAAGTTCTGCATAATTGATTTTACTGGAATGAATTACTATTGTTAATGACATTATCATTGCAGATAGCTAATATTTTCTGAAAGAAAATTACTTATTATAATAGTTTTGTCTATTTTTCATCAGAAATACTGTACTGGCAGATAACATAAAAAGTGGTCTATAACCAGCAGTTGCTCACTAAAAACAATATATTCAGTCACCATATATGTGTTCCAGCAGTGATTTGTTTAGCAAAAGAGCACTGATAATAGTTATTATTAAATTTTCAGTAATATTTTTCAAAATTACTAATTTTAATTTGATTATGAAATTGAAAATAAGATAAAACATTCACTGATAAATAATAGCACCTTAATAGTGAAACATTTATGTTCAAAACAAATGTTTCTAATTTGTTTAACAAGTTATTCTCAGGTTACATTTAAGAATATAATAAAAGAATAATTTAAGAAATTTGAATGGGAAGTTTGAAAAAAGGAGCAAATTATAAATGAAACATTTACAACTGATAAAGTAAAGAATTACAATAAATACATAAGTACAATAAAATTACTATAAATTATTAATTTTATAGAAAAATTAAAACTATAATGAACAAAAACATCTATAATTCTTGAAAGTTGAATCTCCAAGACAAGACAAGAGAATTAGTCTCTGATGTCTAGACAATTTTTTATTAATTTATGCCTGTAAATAGTATATAAGCATAATTCCATATTGTAGTATATTATACAAAATTTCAAAGATTCCATCTCTTTCAGTCTTAAATGCTTGATGTATACATGATTTCTATTTCTAATACAGATAGTCATTGATTCTGAACTTACTGGATACATTGGTAAACTTTTTTCTAGAAGATTACAAAATCACAGATGTGATGAATGCATTGAGAGAACATGGCTCTGGCTTTGTTTATTAAGTTTGACAGTTTTGTTGTGCATTGAAGTAAAGCTAAAGTAATTAGCTTTACTTCAATATGACTTTCCATAGAAACATACTGATATGCTGCAATTTAGCACATTATTTAAGATCAAAATTAACATCTTGATAAACAATCTGCTTTGAATTTGTAATCAATGGAGAAATACTTGTAAATATTCATTTATACAGTAAACAAACTGTGTTTAGTTTTTTGCCAAAGAATTCTGTTATATGGGATTGGCAAAGATGTGTCAGTCTTGACTTTGTCAGTTCCTTTTCTATTTCTCCCCTAATCTCAAACATGTTCACATTAGTTTGGCAATGTGCAAATGCATAATGTTAAAGTTCTTTAATATTTATAAGGACAGACTGATAGTTTGGTGCTTTCTGTTCCTCTACTGCTGGTTCCATATCATCATCTATTGTCTTACTTGATGCAGCATCATTTCCATATGTTTTTGCAATAATATTTTTGAGAGTACTCTGAATCATCACTGGAATAGCTTCTAGATGCCTCTAGAATTGTATTGAAGCTATTCCCATCAAGTGCATGTATCTGTGAGACATTTAACTNTGGAGGGGGATCAAAAGGCAGTGTGATGGATTTTGTTGTTGGTTGAATGGTCTTGTGTTATGGTGGTTGTGTGTTTGAGAAAGTATTGTGAACATCATCTATTGTCTTACTTGATGCAGCATCATTTCCATATGTTTTTGCAATAATATTTTTGAGAGTACTCTGAATCATCACTGGAATAGCTTCTAGATGCCTCTAGAATTGTATAGAAGCTATTCCCATCAAGTGCATGTATCTGTGAGACATTTAACTAACTAAAGTATCAACCTGGTGATCAGTTTCCAAGATCTGTAGGAATTTTGTCATGATGACAATGAGCCAATATATTGGATTTCTAGCTTGTAAAGGTTAAGTGACCTTGAACTGTAATAGCTTGCATACCTTCTGTGATGCAACTTTGTGTGTGAATATGGACACTGTGATCTTATTCTTGAACCCCCTTTTCTTCAAACACCACCCTTTACAATAACAATCACCATGTAGTGTCATTTATTGGCCAAGCAAGCAAGTTTTACTCTCATTAGTTGTCATTTAGTGTCCAACTCAAAGTTGCTATCAGGAAGTGTTTAAGATAGAGAGTGTGAAAATATGATATAGAAACATAACCAAACAATAGCCTAAATAACCAGACTATAACACCACTAATTTAATGATTAATACTAAGTAATTTGCTACTAGAGGTAGATGTTAGGCACTATCTCTTAACTAAATTAATAATTATAATTTTAATAATTTATTAAATAATTTAGAACCATCTGGAAGATATGATAAGCAGTAAGAGACATCCAAGATACATGATAGTGAAGTGTCTAGATTAGGGAGATAGAAATTTATTATAATGTCAATAACAAATATTTTTATTTTAATTTTTTCATCAGTAAAAAAGCTTTGTGATAAAAATGAGTAACTAATTTAAAAATAAAATGAAACCTTAGAGCTTCCTTGGGGATTAAGAAAAGGTCAATGATGACAAAGGGGACATGTGCCTGAAGTGCCCCAATGTATGGATGCCCTTGGTGTCCAGATTAGAGGTGAGGTGTCCAATTTTTGAGGTTTTACTGAACTTTTCATAAATTTGTTCAGATTTTATAGGAATAATTAGAAATTTTCTATTTAAAATTTAGCAAAAAATTTTAAAATTCTCCTTATTCATTCCTTCAAATTTTTTAATAATTAGATGGATATCTTTATTTGATGCAAAGTGAAAGAAATAGATTCTATATAAATTAGAATTAGAGAAATGTAAGAACATTTTATTTGCTATTGAAGGATGATACTTTTGTATAAGTGGGATAAAATTTTAATATAACTTTTATTATCTTAATAGTATAAGTATTTACGGAGACTATCCTCAAAATAACTATCTTCTGCAGCTATATACTTCTGCCAACATTCATGGCATTATTAAAACAGTTTTGCAATTCATGTTACATTATTCCTTAAGAGCAAACATCACAGAACTTTTCACCTCTGCTGATTTAAATCTTTGACCTTTCAGTAAAGTTTACATTTTGGCAATGTAAACTCTACTGAAAGGTCAAAGATTTACATGAAAGAAATCTTTGACCTTTTAGAGTAAGGTTTAGAGTAAGGAGGCTTGGAAGTATAGTTATTTGGTGTTTTATCTGATACTTATTAACTAGGAGTGCAGTCAGGGCATTGTGGTGATGCTGTAGGATCACTTACACCACATTCACCATATCAAATATTCAGAATTTAAAATGTGAAAACATTTTAAAAACCATTTGAAAATAATTTACACTATGTCATTTTCATCATCAGTTCTCTTATATAAAATGAATGGTTGCAGATGATTTGCAATGTTTTATAACTTTAAATCATGTAAATAACTTTAAAATCCTGCAAATTGACATATTAACAAATTACTTCAAATGATATTTTTACTAGGATAAATTTAAACATTCATTAAAATAGCCAAAATTCAGAAAAAATGTAATTTAAAAATTAGACATTCCTGTTCTTGAGGGCTGAATTGATCTAAAGCATTCTACAGATTCATTCTATTTCACATTTACATTAACATTGCATTTTTAACTTTTGTTTTCTACAGAATACAAATGAAGTCTTTTTTTCTAATTGGTTAACAATGATATTTTATGCTCTGAGTAAAATACATCTTTTACCATTTTATAATTCTCCAATTGTTTGATCTCTTACAAAAGTTTTTGCTTTGTTACAAAAGATTTAGTTTTCCTTTTCAAGGATGTTTACAAGGCTCTTTAATGTTCATAATATTCTCTAGTTTACTGATTTTATATTTAATTCTAATAGTATAACTTTAAGTATATTGGAGTTATTGCTTTGAATGAAATAAAATAAAATTTACATTTCTTCTTTAATTTCAAACTTTATTATTTTTTTGTTTTTTAGTTTTTAAACCGATCTTCAGAAAAGTTATTAGGATTTACTGCAGATGAAATAATTGGTAAAAGTACTCAGGAAATATACAAATCAGACTCTACAAAAGCAGATGTTATTGAAAACATTAATATGCAAATAACAAAAGGAAAAGTAAGAATTTTAATGTTTTAATATTAAACTGTTTATCATTTTATTTTATTTCATTTTCATTTTATAAAAGGAATGGGAAGGAAAATTATTACATAAAAGGAAATCTGGAGAAAATATGCCATTATGGAGTCGAATTTCACCTGTAGAAATAACTACTGGGTTGGTAATTTTATAAATTATACATATAACATTAATATGATATTAAAAATTTTTTTAATATAATTATTATGAAAAATTATTTGAAAAATTTTATTTAATAAAATATCAGTAAAATTAGTTTTGAATCTGATAAGATGAGATAAGATGAAGAGTTTTATAGCTTTTGTTAAGAGAGATAAATTTATAAGTTAAGAGATCATGGAAGGATAATATGGTTCAAACATATCTAAAGGTTTGCTTCTGTGGAAGGAATACAGAATATGGAGATAGGTGGCTGTCCATAAATTATGTCCACATTTTTCTTGAAATTTTTACTCTCCCTCCCCCATTGTCCTAGTTTATCCAAGTTTCTATAAACCTCTCCCCTATTTGGACATCCAACAAAAGTCAATTCCCAAAATTTTTACTACTTTATGAATAATAAAATGTATAAACTATAAAATTTAATGAAATAAAATAGACATCCATTGAAGTTCAAACCCCCCTTGTCTGACTTTGTCCGACTTGTCATGACGACTTCACACCCTTCCAGTATGGATGCCATTTATGGATAGACCTCAATGCTTGTTATAAAAAGCTGTTATTTTAGCTCATATACTAAAATAAGCTTTGTATATAAGAATTTGTACAATTGAATTAAATTTTCTGTAAATTTATTTACTGGCATGTAATCTATCTTTTTATAATCTGTTGATTAGAGAAAATTATTTACTCTGGAGAAGAAATCTTGATATTTTACCAATATAAATGATTTAAATTTTTCTGCCAACAATCAAGTTTTCTCATAGAAAGTTGTATAATTTTATCATCAAATTTTTATCTAAATAAACAAATGGATCATGACTTGCTATAACATCTCAATAATATGTTTGCTGCATGTATGAGGAAAACATTTTAAATTTGTCATTCTCTATCTTAAGATATGATTTTAGTTTCATGATAGTTTTGACAAGTAGATTTAGATATACAGTTACTTTTTTTTTTTTTACTCTTTCTGCCCTAGGAACACTAAAAGAGTTCAAAAAATAGGCACACAGTGACATTTTTTTTGGAACCCTTTTAGTGTTCCTAGGATAGTGATGCCAGTGACCTCATTTAATTCATGCTTGACGACAGAATTTCCCTTAAGTTGCATTTTTAAATATTTTGGCTATATTTTAAACTTACTTCATTAAATTTAAACCTTAAGAAAAGATAGCTGCATTGTGTCACTTCTACGATTAAAATCAAAAAATATTTTTTATAGTGTCTGTGTGATGTTCTATTATCCAATCACAAGTAATGATCTAATGAGCTTGTTATTTAAAATGTATTATTGTGCATCAATTATGCTTCAACAGGTAGTATAGGCTACTTAATTTGTAGAAACATTATCTATTCTTCTTGAATTTCTTGAAATCTGCATTCTTCTCAATTCTTCAATCTCTGCTTTCTCATAGAAAGTAGTCCATCGTGCTTGGTTGGGGATTTCTAGTATTTTTATATTCAGTAAAATTACTATTTTTTATATTTTATATTTCTTTTGTATCTTTTGCATATATAATTTTATAATAATTTTTCATAAATAAAAACTCACATATTCATATGCATATTTCTTTAGTTTTTTAGATCATATCGTGTATGTGAAAGAATATCCCTATATTTTCGATAAATCTCTTGCATCTGATTCAGGTTGGTTTATCTTATTTACTTTCAAATGTAATTACTTTATGCTATGAGAGAATTTTGTATTAATAATGTTTAAAAATTAAAAATGTTAGTGCAATAAATTAAATTTAAAAATGAGTTTATAAATTTCATTGAAAATAAATATAAAACATCGTATTTGCCAAATATTACATGTCAGTTTTGAAAATTTACACCAAAATAGTATAATGTTTTATTTGTGAAATAAAGAATATAAAAATTCTCTTTTATAAAAATAAGAAAGGCTGGAATGTATTAGAAAAATTACAAAATTAAAGACTAAACTCAAAGTACATTTTGATCTTTTCTATACATTCATTCACAACTATAGAAGAACTGTTTATACAGTTGTGTAGAAAGAGAAGAGCCTCAAATAAAAGTTGGCTTCACTAGTGTTAATTATATTCTAATGATTGTGAATGGATATGTAGAAAACTTCAAAATATGTTTTGCATTTAGTCTTCAATTTTGTAATTTTTCTAATGTAAAAATTCTTTGTTATTTCTGTGTTATGTGTATAGACTTAGGCAAATTTTAATTATCAAGTAATGTAGATTTTTATTTATATTTTAATCTATTAATTTCATAAAATTCTTCTCTTGAACAACATCTTTACAAGTATTCATTGACTACACTTGTTATTCAATCAATGAGATTGTTATAAGAGCAATCACTGTTCATATTATTTATATCTCAATTTACAAGTTCAAATTATTGCATATTATTATTTTATCAAATAACTATCTTTATTAAAGTTTTATTATAATGGATTTTTAATATTTTAAATGATTCTTTTAGTATTTCTATTATAATAGCATAAGAGGGCGGTTTTTCAATCTCCGATGGTCCATAAAACAAAGACAAGTGTAAATAACAAAATGAATTTATTATCAAAAGTTAGGTAAAAACATGGTTACTTTTCGACATAATCACCATGAAGATTGGGGCATTTGTCATATCTGTGGATGAGCTTTGTAATCCCCTCTTCATAGAATGTTGCCACCAGTGACTTGAGATAGGCCTTAATTTAATTAACTTTGTTTTGAAGATCTTCATTAATCTCAAACCTCTGCTCTCCTAGCCATGTTTTCAGTTTAGGAAAGAGGTGGAAGTCTTCAAATATTAAAGGTGTGAAGACTTTCACCTTTCAGACTTCCACCCAGCTTGGAACTTTTTAAACACCCAGTGTATAGCCCCGATTTAGCGCCGAGCAACTTCCACCTGTTTCCTGAACAGAAAACATGGCTAGGAGGGCAGAGGTTCGAGACTAATGACAATCTTCATAACAACGTTAAACGTTAAGGCCCATCTCAAGTTATTGGTGGCAACATTCTATGAAGAGAGGATTGCAAAACTTGTCCACAGATATGACAAATGCCCCAATCTTCACGGTGATTATGTCAAAAAGTAACCATGTTTTTACCTAACTTTTGGTAATAAATTCATTTTGTTATTTACACTTGTCTTTATTATATAGACCATCAGAAGTTGAAAAACATCCTACATATTATCATATTTTGGAATCACATGTTTGTTAATTTTTAATATAATGTATAGATATTATGTTAGACTTGATGTTGCTTGTCGGAGATTAGTAAAAACTGGTTGGACTCGGTTATGTAACAAAGAAACAAAGAATACACAAAGATTACACTGTCTTGACTCACGGAAGGTCAGNAATACTTATTTTTCATTTTATACTTATGAATATTTTCTTGAATAGCAGGTATGAATCGACGACAATCATTTGCTAGATTTCATGCTATGACAATAGAAGCACCTATAACAAAGGTAAGTTAGTTAATAATTTTTTTAATGTAATCAAAAATAATTTTTCATAAATAAAAACTCACATATTCATATGCATATTTCTTTAGTTTTTTAGATCATATCGTGTATGTGAAAGAATATCCCTATATTTTCGATAAATCTCTTGCATCTGATTCAGGTTGGTTTATCTTATTTACTTTCAAATGTAATTACTTTATGCTATGAGAGAATTTTGTATTAATAATGTTTAAAAATTAAAAATGTTAGTGCAATAAATTAAATTTAAAAATGAGTTTATAAATTTCATTGAAAATAAATATAAAACATCGTATTTGCCAAATATTACATGTCAGTTTTGAAAATTTACACCAAAATAGTATAATGTTTTATTTGTGAAATAAAGAATATAAAAATTCTCTTTTATAAAAATAAGAAAGGCTGGAATGTATTAGAAAAATTACAAAATTAAAGACTAAACTCAAAGTACATTTTGATCTTTTCTATACATTCATTCACAACTATAGAAGAACTGTTTATACAGTTGTGTAGAAAGAGAAGAGCCTCAAATAAAAGTTGGCTTCACTAGTGTTAATTATATTCTAATGATTGTGAATGGATATGTAGAAAACTTCAAAATATGTTTTGCATTTAGTCTTCAATTTTGTAATTTTTCTAATGTAAAAATTCTTTGTTATTTCTGTGTTATGTGTATAGACTTAGGCAAATTTTAATTATCAAGTAATGTAGATTTTTATTTATATTTTAATCTATTAATTTCATAAAATTCTTCTCTTGAACAACATCTTTACAAGTATTCGTTGACTACACTTGTTATTCAATCAATGAGATTGTTATAAGAGCAATCACTGTTCATATTATTTATATCTCAATTTACAAGTTCAAATTATTGCATATTATTATTTTATCAAATAACTATCTTTATTAAAGTTTTATTATAATGGATTTTTAATATTTTAAATGATTCTTTTAGTATTTCTATTATAATAGCATAAGAGGGCGGTTTTTCAATCTCCGATGGTCCATAAAACAAAGACAAGTGTAAATAACAAAATGAATTTATTATCAAAAGTTAGGTAAAAACATGGTTACTTTTCGACATAATCACCATGAAGATTGGGGCATTTGTCATATCTGTGGATGAGCTTTGTAATCCCCTCTTCATAGAATGTTGCCACCAGTGACTTGAGATAGGCCTTAATTTAATTAACTTTGTTTTGAAGATCTTCATTAATCTCAAACCTCTGCTCTCCTAGCCATGTTTTCAGTTTAGGAAAGAGGTGGAAGTCTTCGAATATTAAAGGTGTGAAGACTTTCACCTTTCAGACTTCCACCCAGCTTGGAACTTTTTAAACACCCAGTGTATAGCCCCGATTTAGCGCCGAGCAACTTCCACCTGTTTCCTGAACAGAAAACATGGCTAGGAGGGCAGAGGTTCGAGACTAATGACAATCTTCATAACAACGTTAAACGTTAAGGCCCATCTCAAGTTATTGGTGGCAACATTCTATGAAGAGAGGATTGCAAAACTTGTCCACAGATATGACAATGCCCCAATCTTCACGGTGATTATGTCAAAAAGTAACCATGTTTTTACCTAACTTTTGGTAATAAATTCATTTTGTTATTTACACTTGTCTTTATTATATAGACCATCAGAAGTTGAAAAACATCCTACATATTATCATATTTTGGAATCACATGTTTGTTAATTTTTAATATAATGTATAGATATTATGTTAGACTTGATGTTGCTTGTCGGAGATTAGTAAAAACTGGTTGGACTCGGTTATGTAACAAAGAAACAAAGAATACACAAAGATTACACTGTCTTGACTCATGGAAGGTCAGTGTTGAAAAGGAGAAAGTGAAACAAGGTCACCATCTCTAACGGCTCCCCAAGGGGTCAACAGTGCTACCAACCTTTTATTATGTAATGGGAAAATGTTTACAAAATATCACCACAACACAATGCGTTGTACGTAACGATGTCATGTAGCATTTAACAATAATTTCAATCATTGATTCCAAGAATTACATAGATTATTATGAATTTTTGAATTAACATAAGTTAAAAATTGGCTGATAGTTTTAAAATATAAATATATATATTCATATATTGAAGATACAAAATTGTCTTTATCTTTCGTTGTTTATAATCATCATTTATAATGTAATAAGAGTTTAATTTATTTAATTTTTTAATACATAGTTATAACTGATTTAATTTTTTAGATACTGTATTTCCTCAATTAAATCCTGGGATTCAATAAACCCCAGGAATAAAGGTTCTGTTAAAAATAAACTTTAATCTCAAATAAACCTTGGGTTTAAAATGTGGGAAATATGTTGAAGAACTGAACTGTACAGGGTAGTATAGTTTAAAGTGACAGGTATAGACTTTAAACAAAAACTCTGTTGCTTTAAATTTAAGCTGTGTGACTGTAGACAATTTCAATCAAAGCATCTGAGATGATTTCTGATCTCGGAGTTTCAGGTCCTGAATAAGGAGGTATGAGTATTTCTCTTCTGAGTCTGTGAAATATTATTTTGGGTTTGGCTTTCAAAGTATTGTACTGTACATATCAGTCAAGGAAGACCTAGATCAGTGTTGTCTACCTGTGTAAGAATATCTCCTTCAAGGATATCCATATCACAATGCAAATGTGTTCAGTCCGTAGATATGCCAGGGATTGTGAATTGTGATTTGAGCTGCAAAACCATAGTACTGGTTTGGTTTTTCCAGAATGGAGGGGGATCAAAAGGCAGTGTGATGGATTTTGTTGTTGGTTGAATGGTCTTGTGTTATGGTGGTTGTGTGTTTGAGAAAGTATTGTGAACATTCCTACTTGTAAAAGCAATTTGGCAGTTCTAGCAAAGCAAAAGTCATGGTGTTCAAAGTTTGGATCAGTAATTATTGTGGTCATCCTCTCAATAATTTTAGCAAGTATCTTTGTGGTTCAAGAGGCAGTGATGGAATGCCAAAAATTACATCTGGTCTGGAACCAATTAAACTACTCACTGAAAAAAAAACTATGTCCAATCAAATCAAGTATACACAAAAGATAGACTCTATGAAATGTGCTATTATTATTCAGTGCACCAAGAGAAGATGGTCTTTGTCTAAAGAATATTACAATAAAACAATCATCAACAATACATTATTTTCATGAGTTTTAATGAGACAGTTTCAATTACTTTGTATTAATTTTCTGTGAATTAATATTTTATTCTCTGGCATTATATATTATTTAACATTGTTATTTCAGTCACTGATTATCTATTATTTATATTTATTTGTTATGAATATTCTTGGCACTAAAGACAAGATTACCTTTTATGAGATAACTCATAGTGTCTGTTAAGAGATTGCCAACTACAACTATAACTTATATTTAGCAGCCAACATGTTAGTAATTTAAATAAGATGAATATGAATGCTATCCATTTTCTGGAAAATTTTAAAATATAAATTTAAACAGTTGTGTAAGTACTGTACATATTAAGTGAAAATTTTATACTGGAATAGGAATTGTATCCCTAATAAAAATATACCTTTAAATATTGAAAAATTTTAAATATTTCCATCTTTATCTATAATTTCGTGAATTTTTCTTTCTAGAAATGCTTCCATTTTCATGTGCTGCTGTAAAAACATTAAGAAAGGCATCTTGTGATGTTCGTTCACTCTGCAGTGAAGGTATTATATGTGGACAAATTATTTTGTTTCATTTATGACATCTGTGTAATTCACTACAGAATTAGCAAGTATGAATTATAAAAACTTGTTCTTATTTTTATAATTTTTTTGGCATTTTATAGTTATGATTAAATCAAAGAAGAATTCAGTAACAATTTATAATGAATCAAATTTTAATTCTTTCAAGTAGAAATGTAAAATACTTTTAAAATTTAAATACAAAAAATTGAAATTTTTAAATAGTAAAAAATTTATTAAAACAAGTTCATATTATCATGATTTGTTTTATTATATTGTTTATATATATAAATATTAGAGTTTTANATATATTAATACAAAAATATATTTTTATTACAAATTTTATTTGTATTATTTTTAGTGATAATAATAACTATAAATTAAAATTTTGCAAAGTGTTTATTAGTGACTGAAAGAATTTAATGCAATCATTTACAGATCTTTAATCAATTAAATTAAATATAATAAACTTAAGCATGTGTTTGTTTTTTATCTGGAGTTTCTGTGGTTCTGTCATAATTAGCTATTATCTCCTTCAAAGATCTGTCGTACAATGGAAAACTACTTTTTAAAAAAGAGTCATTTTTTTTTTGTTTTCAACAGACATGCATTTTGGGCTATGACATTATCAGTTTGTTGTAGAAAACCATATATTGATGTGTGCATAAACTAAATAAATATATAAAAAACATAATACAGTAATTCTTAAAAAACTAAATATGTAACTTACTTGGTTGATGTTTACAATATTTTTTATGAAAAAGAAGAGTACATTACAAACTTAAGCATCTTATTTTATATGAAGAAAATTATTTAAATTGTAACTTAATGAAAATTAGTTTTCCTGTTACAATAAGATTAATTAAACAATGAAATGTGTGAGAGTTTACCAATAGCTAAATTTTGTGATTAAATAATAAAAAAATATAAATGTAATAACCATAACTAAGCTTTTATTTGATAATTTGAATTTATTATAATAGTATGATTAAATTTTTAATGATTAATTTCTGGTTATTTTAGATAACTAAAAATGAGTTATGAATATAACCAAAAATTTATTATTAAAATTTAAAGTGATAAAAACTTAAACAATTCATTGTTTGCAATACTTTTGTTAGACTTGAAATAAAATTAATGCTTTATTTATCTTAAACAAGATGCTATTTTGCATAAGTTTCATATCTGATTTAAAAATAGGAACTCTATGAAGGATGTAAACATCTATCCAGGTGGAGGCATAGACTCAGATTAAAACCTCTTACTTGCAAAGATAAAATGAGATTAAAGAAGATCACAAAGAGGAAAAATACAATAGAGAAATGGGATTTAGAAAATTTGAAAAGGAATAGTGAAATTTAAAAGTTTAAATTAGTATCTGAAGAAAAATTCAAAGAAATAGATGAAAGGCATGCTGAAGGACCAAATGAACTGTGGATATCAATGAAGGAAAAGATTTGTGCCACAGCAGAAGAATGGGTAGGAAAGAAAAAGGTCAAGGAAGTCATAAACTCTGGGTTACAGAGGAAATGGTAAATAAAATGAATGAAAGAAGAAGGTGGAAGATGTGAACTCTGAAGAAGGAAGATGAAAATACAGAGAACTGAACAATAAGTTAAGAAGGGTGATTGAGCAAGCCAAAAAAGAGTAGCTTGAAAAAAAATGTGAACAAATTGAAAGTCTGGAGAGGTCAAAAGATTTGAACTGATGTATGATAAAGTTAAGAATGCCTTCTGGTTCAGAAGGTCTAAGAGAGTAATTATTAGTGACAAAAATCGAGATTATAAATGTCTTTCCTTTCATTACCTGTGTGTGTAGCAATGATTTGTGTTATATAAACTTTTGTATTTATATTGTGTAGCAACGCTTCATATCATATAACCATTATATTATTTTTTATAATAAATAAACGGCCATGACGTGGTGTCTTTTATCAAGCCCGCCACTTTTTGGTTCGGTATGACTTGAAACAGATCAAAGTAGTCGTGTATGATTTTTTAAACTTACTTGTAAGGTATCCTACTCATTATCTGTGAACACATAACTTGCAACAGTGATATATTCAACAATAAATAAGGAGAAGATCTTGCACAGATGACACAAATACATAAGTGAAGTTGATAAAGATGAAAAAGGAGCACCAATCTTGATGGAAGAGGTTATGAGTACAGTAGAAGGATTGAGAAACAGAAAATCAGAAGGTATTGATAGCGTCCCTATAGAATTCATTAAGAATATGGGTGAAAATGGAATTAAGAAAATTGTCAGGCTTTGCAATGTGATTCAGGCACATTGCCTGATGATTTTCTTAGGAATATTTTAATTTGCATTCCAAAGAAAGATAAAATAACAATTAGCTTGATCTCCCATACCTCAAAAATCCTTTTAAGAATATCAGAGAAACGTCTTTATGGAAAATGGAAACCATTCATAAGGGAAGAACAGTTTGGGTTCAGAAAGGGAAAAGGCACTAGAAAAGCGATAGGAATGCTGAGAACCATAGGAGAATGATACATTGAAAAAGGAAAGGGAATGTTGCTCTGTTTTATAGATCTTGAGAAGGCATTTGACAAAATTGACTAGAAAAGGTTAATGGATATTTTGAGGAAGAAAGTAGATTGGAAGGATGGGAGATTAATACTAAACTTGCACAAATATCAGTAGTTAAAGTGGATGGTCAATACAGTGAGGAAATCAATTGAAAGGAGTGTTAGGCAGCAGTGTTACCTATCACTGCATATTTTCAACATGTACTTGGAAGAAATGATTATGGAATATCTAGAGGAAGAGGAAGGTATTATAATTGGGGGATGGCTGATTCAGTGCCTAAGGTATGCTGATGATATGGCAATTCTGGCAGAGAGCAAGGATAAAATGAGAAAGATCCTGATTGGACTAGAGAAGGGGGTGTGCAGCCTTCAAAATGAAAATTAATATTAACAAAACCAAAGTGCTATGGATTGGAGAAAGGGAAAGAAAGGTCAACATCCATATATATGGTGATAAAGTGGAACAAGTGAATGGGTCTAGATATCTGGGTGCCTGGCTTGACTCCAGAAGTGGAAAAGAAATCAAGAGGAGAATAGTGAAAGAGGCATTTAGCAAAATGAAAACAATTTTGTGTGAACTTTTGAAATTAGAATTGAGAAAAGAGCTGGTCAAATGCTACATCTGGAGTGTTTTCCTCTATGGTGCCGAAACTTGGACCTTGAGATAATGCGACATCAGAAGAATAGAGGTCCTAGAGATATGACTATGGAGAAGAAGACAGAAAATTATATGGACCAATAAGATGAGAAATGAGGAAGTCCTAAGAAGAATGGGTGAAAAAATGAGCATATTAGAGACAATAAAGAGGCAAAAAGCTAATTGTATGGGACACAAGATTCAAGAGGAAGACTTATGGAAGGAATGATTGCAGGCAAAAAGAAATGAGGGAAAAGAAGAATTAAAATGATGAATGATAAAATGTTAATAAATGACAAATAACCCTTCAAATGTTCTTTAATTAAGTAAATTGTCACCAATCTTTCTAGTATATGTGTGGGGGATTTTTCCTTATATACAAGAGGTTTCAAAGTAGTGCCCGGTTTGTGTGCATTAGTGAATGCAAGTAGCTTGGGGTGTCTGGTGAGGAGACCACCACCCTGTCTAAGTTCAAGCATTTAACTAGTGTGGTATGTGTGAAAGTGATCACATGTGACTGTAGTTTATCCACAAAATTTTTATTAGCAGGTTCACAAAACACATCTGTGGTATACTGCTTTATATATGCCATATAGGTTTCCTTCTTTAACAGCATTAATGCATTAGACTTATCTGCTTTCAATATATGAAATGGTTCTCCGAAAGCCATTTCTTGCTCCTCCATACATTGGACCAAACACCCCTTTCACTTGTGTATCCATTGCTCTTAATCTGAATGCAGCTTTCCATCAGTATAGTTCTTTGTGGCACTTGTCCATTCCAGCTACAAGCTTTTCAATCTCTGGATATGTTTCAAACTAGGCTTACAAGATTTGACTTCAAACTTCAGGCCTCTTTTAACAGGCAGAAAAAGAAAGGTGGTGGAGAAATATCGTCCATACAGATCAATAGCAGGTGCTAACATCCATCTTCAGTTTTTGCTTTAATAGTATCCATCACAGTTTTTGTTTTTTTGTATTTGTACATTAATTTGTAGGCCAAACCTTCTTGCATGGGTGTTTTTGATCATTAAAGATTCCAGATTCTTTTCAAACATATTGTTCTCCAACATAATCAAGCTGCTGAGTTTAGAGTAAGAACCCAATGTGTTATTCTAAATGTTTTACCATGTCTTGCACTGCACATTGACTGATTCCAACTGACTGATTCCAAAATGTTCTGCAATTTTTTAGAAATATTTTTATTAAAAAACTATTGTTTTGGTAGATTCTGAGTTAAATGATTTGTAAAATATTGGTATAAAATGATGTTTTTAATTTTTACAAAATTATTCTAAATTTTAGATATTAATACTTATTTTTCATTTTATACTTATGAATATTTTCTTGAATAGCAGGTATGAATCGACGACAATCATTTGCTAGATTTCATGCTATGACAATAGAAGCACCTATAACAAAGGTAAGTTAGTTAATAATTTTTTTAATGTAATCAAAATAAAATATAGTAGGCCCTTGACTTAACAGATCCCAAGTTATTCATTGACTTAACAGTATTGCATATTAATTCTTATGTACTGTATACATAGTATTTTTCTTAAAATTGTTTTCTTGGTTTGGTTATACCTACCTAACCTTCAAGAGGTCAGATTTGGTCCACTCAAAGATCTTGCATAGAGAGTTTGGTTTCAGAGTTTGTTTCACAAAAGAGTCAAATTTTTCAAGGTTAACTTGTAAAATAGAGAGCACAAGGAAGGCAAGAGGGTCAGTTTGTGGCTTGTGCATGAGGTGAGAGAAAGAACTCAGGAAAGGAGCATGTAGCCATCTGTTCCTGGAGTGTAAGGGTGAACTCCAAACTTCTGAACTGTGGGAGAGGATTGTAGAAAATCCTTGGAGAAACTTATGATGAAGCTTGTTAATTACTGATCAGAGTGCTATCTCCTGAGTAAAATTCTGAGTGAATGACAAATTCTCTTTCACACTGATCTGGGAATGTGCATGTGGTACTGCATCTAGCTTGACCGGTTACAATGTCTGACTTAATTAAGGACTGATAGTTTGGTAGTATGAGTCAATCATTGAACCAAGGAGAGAAGGTTGTTTCATCATAAAGGAATTACTTTGTGGACCTCACAACTATGAGTATCATAAGAATTCTACAGAGCCTGGGCACCTTTGTTCTTGTCTAGCCTCCATCTTGAATACTTCTTGTCCTCTATCTTAATCTCTCAACCCTGTTAGTTGTAAGTTTAGTTATAAGATTAATTTTAAGGATTTAATTTAGATAACTTTTCTTCTGTGTATTGTAAAAATCATTAATATCTCAGTTTTGTATGTTTTGTGGTATATTTAAAATTGTACCTGTTCTGCTGACATTCAGATATCGTGGGTAACTGCTGGAATATTATCCTAGAGTTGGCATCTGTTAAAGTATTTGCTGTGAAGAAAATTCAATGCACAATTAAACATTTTTAAAAATCTAATCTATGGCATTGTTTGTTTCTTTTTTGTGTGTTTGCCTTCATGGTCCAATGGTTACACATCTAATTTTACAATACAGTTTAAAAATATAAATTTTAAGACAAAAGTTATTGCTTAAATAGAAATATCTATGCAATGATTGTTTCTTTATTATTTAAAAATATCCAGGCAATTCTTTTATTTATAAATTGACATTTTTGACAAATGCATTTTCTTCAATTTCTTTTAATATTGGGTTGTTCGGAAAGTAAGTTCGTTTTTTTTTTTTCCGTGGGAAAAACCACAATATTTTTATAATAAATAAATATTTTATTGAATTATATATCGACCATTTTGGTCAAATACCTGTTGTCATTGTTTCTGGTAGTAAAATGATTTCACATTCATAAAAATTTTGATTGTTGCTTACAAAAAACTGATCCAAGTGATTTTTGACATTGTCATTTCAAGTAAATGTCTTACAGTTAAAAAAAATTTGTATAGACTGGAACAAGAAATAATCTGAGTGTGCTCGATCTGGCGAATATGGTTGGTGTGATAGCACGTCCCGTCTAAATTATAACAGTTTCTGACGAGTTACCAAACTTGTGTGAAATTTGGCATTATCATGAAAACACTACACCTGTTTTGTTGATCAATTCTGGCCACCTTTTCTGTTTGATGATATCACTCAATTTGTTTACTTGATGGCAGTACACTTTCGAATCAATTGTTAAATTGTCTGGTAAAAGCTCCAAAAAAGAAAATTTCCTTAAAATCCCACCAAAGAAAGCATATCTCTTTAAGAACATGTGGAACCCATATATCAAGCTTTGAAACGAAACTCAATTTGTTTCAAGTAATCATAAACAGTTCAGTTTGACAAATTTAATCTCTTAGTGATTTCACGTGTTGTTATTCGGCAGTTTGCTTCAATCAGTACCTTTATTTTGTTTTCATTGGCTTCAACAGGCCATCCAGAACGTGGTGGATCTTCAATATTGAAATTGCCAGAATGAAATTTTGTAAACCAGTTTGGCACTGTTGTTCTGTCAATACATCTTCTCCATACACATCATACAATTTTTTCTCGCTTGAACAGCATTCTTACCTTTTTGGTAATAAAAGAGCAAAATATGCCAAAAATTCTGCTTTCGATCTTCTGTATTTGATGGGACACAAAAAATAAAGAATTTCACAAAATTTTTTACAAATAAGCGTTAAAATGCTAACTGTCAAAATATATAATGATAATATGGTTTAGAATGAAAATGGCAGGAAAAATACAACTAATCCATCTAGTGGTAAAAAAAATGAAATTACTTTCCGAACAACCCAATAGAATAAAATATTTAAAATGTTGACAGCCAGACCTTTGAAGTTATGAATAAATGAAAATATAAAGATACATGTGTAAAATGTATATAAAAAAATAAAAAAATATAAGAACAAATAATAATAGTTGAGTATGAGCATTACCCCCAATGTGCATACTGTTAGTTCATATAATGTCACTTGGCATATATTTCAAAAAAGACTCTCCACACCATGTAGGACTATTAGAGCATAAGCTCTCACCTCATTCTGCTGGACCAAGGTTAGAGTCTGAGATGGCCTAATCTATAAAATGATATATGTGGAGGTATTATACATCTATAAAACACTACTACCAGTATTACTTATTACAGTATCTTCTATTTTTTATAATTTTAAGCATTAAGTGATCCACTGGTTCACAGGTAGTTAAGTTGTTGTTATATCTTGTTATATCTGTTTTGTTTGTTTTTATTATATTCTAGAATTAAATATACTTTCAACAATATAGATCATATTAGAATAAATGTGATATATATTTACTAAATAGATTTGAGTAAATGAATTATATAGTAAGATAAAATATACTTTATTACATTTTAGATATATTAGCTTCTTATAAAATATAAATTTTTATTCCTAGGTAATTAATATGCTTTTGGCAACTCAAGAAAATAGTCCAATATTTGTTGCACAAGCTCTTGATAGAGCATTAGATATATTGAGAAGCACAGAATTGTATTCACCACAATTCCCTGGTCTTCAACAAGTTCGTGCAGAAGATCAAATTACTTCTGATCTTGTAACAGGATTAGTCACAGTATGTAGTATGTTGTAAAACTATATTAAAAATTTTTTATTAGTGAGGCAATTATTTTATATTAAACTATTTATTTAAATATTATCTCTGCATTAATTTCTGTTTTTTTTTTTAATTTCAATAATAGGGGCAAAAAACATACAGAAGATTTTCACATGAAGTAGCCCTTAAAGGTATTTATATTATTATTTAAAATATTTTAAGAATTTAAAAAAATAAAATGATAGTATTTTAGTGTAAGTTTTAAAAGTTTTCTGTACATCCTTTATAATAACTAAACAATAGAGATAGGCAGTTGAATAAAATAAAAAATTAATTTATTTGTTTAGCTACTTTTTTAATATTATAAAAAAATTCATATATTTACTATAGGATTATCAGCACCACCAACAACAATGGCCACAAGTGCTGCTCTACCTAATTTGACAACAGCACCAATTGAAGTAAGAAATATATTAGAAAAAGAAGCTGAATGGAATTTTGATATTCTTTCTCTGGAAAGAATTACTGAGAAAAGGTAATATATTAATTTGTATTTCATAAATTTGTGAAATTATTAAAGACTAGCTGATGTACTCAGCAAGGCTTGACATTCTGACAAAACTTGCTAATAATATACTGAGCAATGTAAACAGTAATCATGGTTTGAATTATAATAGATATTTGGTATTATTTTAGGTAAAAGAATTATTTTAATTGATAAATACAATTAATTATAAATTAGTTACATTATCAATATTAAGTAAAATTTTGAAAATAGAATCATGAAATTGTTATATCACTAACAATTTTATGTAATTATGAACACAGAGGGTAAGAAAATGGTTTTGTTGAAGAGAAATTTGATAATTTCTTATTTAGATTTGTTTTATTATCTATTGCTTCCAAATCAAACAACTTTATCCTGATTAATAAAAAGTCTGAATATATTTTCACATTTTTTACTAATTATATAAGTATAATTTACAGCAGTGTTTCTCAACTTCTAACGAATCGTCGCCCCCTTCAACGTGGTATCGCCCCTTCAATAAAACCATTACCTATTATCGCCCCCTTCACTTTAAAATTCCAATGCCGAGGACCAAGACTAACGCCAAAGTCGTACTGCATTGAATAGACTAGTGACTAGTATAATGTTATTTGTTTAATTATTGTACGATATAATGAATAAAATATCTAATTATTCTTAATATAATGTTTTACTATATCGCCCAGAAAATTGTTTTTCGCCCCCCAAAATGTAAATTATTACTAATCGCCCCCTCAACATGGAAAAACGCCCACATGGGGGCGATATCGCCCCCGTTGAGAAACACTGATTTACAGGGTGAGTCATGTAACCTGAAACAGTAAAATATCTCAAAAACAGTGTTGCAAAGGAAAATGTTTAAAATAATATTTGTTTATTTTGAAGGGGAAAGGAAACAAGCATACATATTTTTTTTATTTTGACAATGTGTCAAAAGTCAACTTGTTATTTTCAAATGGAAACATATTTTTTATAGCAGCATTTTATTCTATGTGAAACAACAAATAACTTTTGTCTGAAACATTTTTTTTTCTGTTTAATGCTTAGCTTTCACAACATTTCAATTTTAAAAGAAGGTCAACAAAATTTCCCTTTTCAAAGTTAAAAGCAATTTTTATTGCTAAAACATAACAAATCAATTGTTATGAAGAAATTAATCTAACAAGTGCTGGAAAACTTGAATTTACAAGTTTATTGTAAATTCAGGTCTTCTAACAACAATGGTAATTCATCAATGAGAAAATTGTGGTATTTCTTACCATTTGGACAAGAAAAGCAGACCATGTGAGCTAAGCATGATGGCTGTCCAGTACATTATTCAGATGCTGCTTGACAAGCATTACATCGATGTTACCCAATTTAAGACTACTTGACTTTTTTATGGGGATATCTAAAAGGAAAGGTATACCAAGATGTATCTACATCCCAGAAAATATGCAGGAACAAATATGAAATGCTTGCAAAAATATTCCTCAAGAAACATTTTTAACTTGTCTCCAATCTTACCTTGAATGTATTGAAAAATGGTAATGAGGTTAAAGGCAATCCTTTGAACACTTGTTAGATTAATTTCTTCATTACAATTGATTTGTTGTGTTTTAGAAATAAAAAATTGCTTTTCACTTTGAAAAGAGAAATTTCGTTGACCTTCTTTTACAATTGAAATGTTGTGCAATAAACAGAAAAAGTTTCGGAAGAAACTAAGCAATAAAAAGAAAAGTTTCAGACGAAAGTTATTTATTGTTTCATGTAGATTTTAATGCCACTATAAAACATAAACATAAACTTTAAAAATATATTAGCCAGGATGTCCTTCATATGCCTTTAGGATTAACAATTTCACTAGCGGAGGGACAACAGATGAACAGACACTTCTATAGTTATGTCTGATGAAGAATTATTTTTTTGTGAATTTTTTAACATATAGGTTTCCATTTGAAAATAACAAGTTGACCTTTGACACATCAAACACATTTGTCAAAACAATTGTCAAAATAAAAAATATGCATACTTGTTTCCTTTCTCCCTTCAAAACAAACAATTATTATTTTAAACATTTCCCTCTGCAATACTTTGTTTTTGAGATATCTTACTGTTTCAGGTTACATGACTCAACCTGTACAGATACTGAATTAAGACTTAAATTGTTTTATTAATCTACTATTTCTGAAATGGAAATAACTGGAAATGAAGTTAAAAATTAATTACATTAAATTTTAGACCACTCATATGGCTTGGAATGGCAATTTTTACTCGATTCAATGTATATTCTACATTGGGATGTGATGAGAAAGTTATAAGAAACTGGCTTTCTTTAATTGAAGCTAATTATCATGATAATCCTTATCATAATTCTACACATGCAGCTGATGTTCTTCAAGCTACAGCATATTTTCTACAAAAACCAAGATTAAAGGTAAATTTAATAAATTAAATAAGTAAATTTATTAGTTTTTTTATATGCAAAACAATTGAATATTAATTCTTATTTTAAAAACTTCTAAAATGTATAAATTAAATTCGATACAATTAAAAATGTTATATTTAATATTTTCAATGAATTCAATTTATATATATAATTAACCAGGAAATTATCAAAAGAAATGAAATTTTTTATATCAGATTATATAAACCATAAGAAAGTGCATGAAAAATTTATTTTATTTTATATGTTTTACTGATGATTGTCTTAAAAAGTATACAATGTATTTTTAACAAATGAATATATGCTATTTATTCAGTTTACCATTTTATTTTCAGAGTTAAAAAATGTTTTTATCTTAAATAGTTTATATGTTGAATATGTCAATAAATAAAAGCAGCTAGAATTTTGGATTCATCTATCTATCTTCAGAACTTAAAACAGAAAATACACACAATTAAATGCCCTAATAATAAAAAAATAATAAGTAAAATATATAAATATTGTAGAATAAAATGAAAATTGTGTGAAGATAGAGCCAATCTTTTTGTAACACAAAGTCTTTAATTCGCTCACCAAATACAGGATTCTTTTCGGGATGCCAGCCGATATCTCTCCCTAGAATGGATACACAAGAATAATCAGACTACAATTTATACAAAATCTATTCCCAATTATAATTACATGGCACAGTTCTTTCTTTTGGTCACTGAATAAGTTTTCTTATCAAATTAAATATATACATATATTTCTTACAAAACTAAGTACTTAAGACTATATCTAGTTAAGGGAAAAAAGGATTAATTTGAAATACGATGAACCAGGACAGAGGATAGGAAAGGGGTACCCAAAAATCTGTATCAATGGTTCCATTGTAGTGGGGTGAATCACCAAAACTCCTTCCCGGGCAAATGGATTGACAGTCCTTTCATTAGACTCTCTTCCTCACTTAAATCCAAGATATTGATTATATATCCAAGTACTATCATGTGTGAGACAACCAAGGGTCACTGGGACGATCCCTAATGACCACTTACACGGCACAGTCCACAAAAACTGGTCTTGGATTCGTTGTATGGCTTAGGAGGGCAAATCGAGTGGGAAGTGTGTTGGTAAGCCGGCAGACATCCTTTCAATGACAGGCGACAGGTTTAACAAAATAACAAAGCATTTATTTAATAACTAATCCTAATTACAATAGTGATAATAATATAGAGGTTAAATGTGAGTTAACTATACAAAGGGTCACTCTTAACAGCTCTAACGGCTATTCTGAGAGAGAGTTCTCAAAGCTCTAAATAAAAATACCTCTATGAAGAAATGAATGGTGTGCGTTGAATGGGTTGTAGAAATCTTAGTCGGCGCAGGAACTGTAGTATGGTGATAAGTATGGAAGTTCGAAGTTGTGGTCCGTCATATGTCGATGTCTTCTCCTTTTGGTCCTTTTCCTCCGGTGTATGGAGACAAGATGCACACATTAATAAGTATAACTTCTTTTGGATCGCCCTTAGTTTCCGGGGGCTCAAGCTTTTATATCATTGTCATGGGAAATCTAACACATGATCGACTTTTGCTGGCAATGACAGTGCATTCCTGCCACTTAAGTGTCAACTTTCCCACCTAATTGTGAAAACAAACGGTGACCTTTGATCTAATTCTCACCAAGAGTGTTTTTTTCTATCAGAGTTGTTTACAAATTTTTTTTTCTGACAACTACATAAAAATTGCAGATCTCACACATGGTTCAATCTTTAATTTTTCCTCTCACAGCCTTTGTCTTCTCCATGCAGTGCTATAATGCAGTGGTCCCAACCTCCGGGCTGCGGACTGGTACCGGTCTGTGGATCAAATGGTACCAGGCCACCCAAGGAACATTAAATTATTTCCATTTTATTTACTGTGGTATATTTCTCTTGGGTTTGTGCGACTTTTAATGGACGAGTGGTTAACCGGGAGCTTAGAGTCGTCACCTAAAATCATACCAATACCGTGCATGCGCAAAATATCGTGATATTGAGGCAGTTTTAGGTGATGTCTGGAGCTGAGCGGCTGCAAGCAGCAGTGGCATTGTAGCTTTGGTGGAAAGAAGGTGTGTATTGCTCTTCTCTCTGTTCACTGGTGCTTTCTCATGTTTAATTAATTAACAGTGCTTGGTGTACGTGTATATTGTGTTTTCTCAAATTTAACCCACAAATTTGCAAAAATGAGTACAAAACAGATGTCGTTAAAAAGTTTTCTTGGGAAAAAGAAATGGCCTAGTGAAGAGACAGAAGAAGAGCCTTCAACATCAAAGAAACATAAAACTTTTAACAGATAATACCATGAGTCCTACTTGAAATATGGATTTATTGGGACAGGTGATTCCCACACACCAACCCTGCTCTGCATAGTTTGCGGCGACCAGCTCTCTAATGAGGCAATGAAACCTTCAAAACTGCTTTGCCACTTGAACACCATGCACTCTGGATTAAAAGACAAGCCCCTGGAGTATTTTGAAAGAAAAAAACGGGAACACGAAGGACAGAAGAAATTTCTGAGGACCACCACATCAATAAAGGAGAATGCACTGAGAGCATCATATTTGGTGTCTAACTGTATTGCTAAGGCTAAAAAGCCATTCACTATTGATGAAGAATTGATATTGCCCTCCACTAAAGACCTTTGCTGTGAACTTCGAGGAAAGGCTGCTGTGGAAAAGATAGCACATGTGCCTTTGTTGGCTAGCACTGTGACTAGGCACACTGAGGAAATAGCCGAAGACATTGAGACACAATTGTTGGAGAGGATTAATACATCACTGTGTACGCACTCCAGGTTGACGAATCTACAGATATCGACAGCAAGGCAATACTACTTGTTTATGTGTGATATCTATATCAGGAGGATGTGCATGAGGATTTGTTATGCCAACCAACACCACAGGAGCAACCTGTTCAAGTCTCTGGATGGTTATATATCAGGACAACTAAAATGGTCCTTTTGTGTTGGCATATGAACAGATGGAGCTGCTGCCATGATTGTCTGGTTTGACTGCTCGGATTAAGGAGGTTGCACCTGAGAGTGAATCTATGCATTGTATCATTCACAGGGAAATGCTAGCAAGCTGAAAAATGTCACCAGAATTTAACAGCATATTGATTGATGTCATTAAAGTTATTAACCATATCAAAGCATATGCCCTCAACTCACGCCTGTATGAGCAGCTTTGTGAGGAGATGGACACAGAGCACAGATGCCTTCTCTTATACACAGAAATAAAATGATTATCCAGAAAAAAATCGCTAACCAGAGTGTTTGAATTATGAGAGCCATTGCAAAGATTTCTATCAGAAAAGTCACTGCTGGCAGCCCATTTCAGTGACAAGGTATGGGTCGCAAAACTGGTTTACCTGTGTGACATATTCAGCCTGCTCAATGAACTCAATCTGTCTCTTCAGGGGAAAATGACAACTGTTTTCAAGTTGGCAGACAAAGTAGCTGCATTTAAAGCCAAACTGGAGTTCTGGGGATGGCACATGAACAGAAGCAATTTTGACATGTTTGAGACATTAGCAGGGATTTTAGGCGAGACTGAGCCTGAGCATTCATTCTCCCAGTTGGTGCATGATCACCTGTCTTTGCTTTTAAAAGAGTTTGAGCACTACTTCCCAACCACAAAAGACCCACGAACTGGTAAGGAATGGATCCGCGACCCATTTCTGGTAAGGAATGGATCCGCAACAAATCAGGCGAATCTAGCATGTCTGTGCAAGAAGAAGATCAACTGCTGGAGATTGCAAATGACGGCGGCCTTAAAACTACCTTTGAGACAACAACTCTGCCGGTGTTCTGGATTAAATTCATGGTGGAATACCCTGAGATTGCCACCACAGCACTTAAATCCCTATTGCCATTTCCGACATTCTATCTGTGTGAAGTGGGTTTTCTGAAGTGACAGCAGCCAAAACAAAACAATGGAATAAACTGGACATAAGCAACACACTTTGGGTGTCATTGTCTCCTATTACTCCCAGGTGGAACCATCTCGTTGCAAAGAAACAAGCTCAGGGTTCTCATTGATTTAGCGTTCTAGTGAGTTAAAATGTTAAATTGCTTTATATTCATTTTTTAGTGTAACTGTGTTTTATTTTGAAGGCATGTTTAAATACAATTAAATTAAAATTATTAAATCAAAACAATTTAAAATATAAACAATCAACGTCCCTCCTCAGTGGCCGCAGTAAAATTATCAAAGGTTGACCAGTCCATGGTGATAAAAAGGTTGGGAACTGCTGCTATAATGCAATGGAGAGTTCCGTTACCATGTCTATCTCTCTCGAACTCCTCAACCCAAAAAGCTCACATGCTATCTCCCTTACCTTCAGGATAGCATTCATTCTATTGTTCTACAGGGATTACCCATCATATACTTCGAAGAGAAGGTTGAATAAGAAAATTCTAGACGGGAAGGACAATAGCAGAGAGAAAATCAAAGGGGAAAAAAGAAATAAATTTACAAATTTACAATATAAAAATACATGAAAATTATGGTGTGCAGCCACAATTAGTCACACACTGTTGATTTCAGCATCTTAAACATGGCCACCAGATTCATCACATGTGTATCACTTTCATGCTTTGTAATAAGTTCTTCATCTCAATTGTCAATATTACAATTTTCCTCTTAGATTTTGTTGCTTTTGCACACCTTGAATGCCATGGATAGTAAAGGTTATATTGAGTTGAACAGAAAGTTTTGCTTAGTTTTAATAGCTGTTATTACTTATAATTAAATCACATCTATGTTAACAGTTTGAAATTTAACACATTATTGTTAATGTGAGATTGTATTTTTTTGTTTGAAAGATTAATTTAAACGTTTTACTTCATGTACGTTTGAATGAAATCAAGTCTTCAGATTAAACATAAATCAAGTATATTATGCTTTATGAGTTTTGGAAAGGATATAACACTATACAAGCATTATGAACTTTTTAATGTGTATGCAGAAGATGCTCTTAAACTTAAAGTGTGTCAAATATGGTTTAAAAAGTTCTGTTCAGGAAATTTTGAAATAAAGGCTACAAAATGTACAGGGTGTCCAAAAGCTGTCAATAAGGAAAACTTATATATTGTTAACATCTTTGTAGATATTTTCACTATCCTATTTGAATAAATAGTGTACTTTTTAAATATATATGATCAATTTTTATGATCAAAAGTTTTATGATCAAAGAGACAAGTTTGAGCAATGCTTGCAGGAAAATTGTTAAAAATTGATAAATAACATGCAATATTTATAACCAAACACACTAAAAATAAAACAAAATACCACGGAAAATACAAGTGTAATGCATGAGTAAGAGACTAATTAAGCACACAACAGATTGATTGCATTTACTCTCATAATTATTTGCATATTTTAGTACATTTTTTCACTATGTACTCAGTTTGAACTTTGAAACATCATTCAAACTCCAAAGCAAATTTTGTAAAATTTACCGTTTGAATGAAAACAAGTTTACCAATATAGTATACTGTGCAAGGTATACAAAGATTTTATGACATATATGCATATATATTGTGTATCTGTATGTGTGTATGTAACTTTGTGACAAGTTGTTACTTAAAAGCAATTTTAGTATTAATATTAATAAAAGCAGATATGAAGTGATCATTATATTACATTGATCTCTGCTTTCTTTTATTTTACATTACTTTAAAGTTGCTTTAAACTAAAAATCAATTTAAAATATTATTTTAAATACATACATACATACATACATACATACATACATACTGATTAGCCTTTGTAATGTGGCTGATTAATAAGTAACAGATTCTGGAGAAATGCTCGGCTTTGATAAATAAATTTAATTTTCACAAAAATAACCAAGGTTCCGAAGAATCAATCATTCGAACAATGAATTTACAAGATTAATTGGGACCGATCGTAATAAATACAACGGATGGGTTCCCAAGTACCGACAAAACAAAGAATCTATTCTATCTTAGGTCTAACTTAACTAATTTTTACAAACAACTGGGCCAAAAGTAAAAGGGAAAATGTTAAGAATCATAGAATTATAAAAGTATTTATAGAAGGAGAAGGTTCAAAGGGGTGACTGGCGATGAAATAAAAAAAAACCTCATATTGTTCCGTCATATGGGTCTTCCGTACATCCTTCTTCTCGCTCTTGCCCCGAAAAGTGTCCTCCTTGTTCTCTTCGAATCTCCCTCCGTCCTCTGCCAGTAACCCCTCGACCAATCAGGTGTCACACCTTTTGTTTTTCACAGATCAGACCACATGGGTCAACCAATCACGGTGTGGTCATAACAGGAACAAAAGCCGGAAGTAAAGTCTCACAGAAGAAAGATGGTATAAGAAGAAAAGAGAGAAAAACAATAAGGCTTAATCAAGTCACAGTAGCATCAATTCCATATATTATAGTTATTTTTTACAGTTGATGCAAACAGGAAAAATTAATTTTTAAGTAAATAACTGTTTAATGTAAAAGTACATATAAGTATAAAGTACTTGCCTATTCAAACTGTTTGTATACTATTCTTTATATTGTTTTGTAGAGATAATTTGATAATTTGAGATATCAGTTTTTCAAATTTATGTTAAAACCTTAGTTTTTCTGTTTTGATATTTATCTAATTAACTGTTTATATCATCATTGGACATATATCTTTTACTGTTTTATAAAATACTTTTAAAATTATGGTTTGTTTTCATCATCTCTATTTAAAATTTTTTTATTGTACATCTGAAATTTGCCAAGTTAACTAATATTGGGCTTATAATGTAGGAAAAGGTTTTAGAAGAGTAAAATTAATCACTTTGAACTGTCTTTTTTGGATATATTTTGTGTCTAAACACCTCTTTAGCAGTTGACAATTCTTATAGAAAGGTCCTGGAGGGAGTTAGAGTTTTTATATATCAAACTTTTGATTTAGGAACTATATAAACTATTTCAGAATTTAAAAATTTTTCTTAAAAAATAGAAAAAGTTAAAGCTTGGTTAATAAAATAATTGTAATGTGCACAACTTATTCAGTTTAAAAGATGTTTATAAATAAAATTACATAATAATAAAATAAAATTTCAAAAAATACCAAATTTTTAAAAATTGAATTTAAGTATAAAAAATTTTTTGAAATTATATGTGAACCTCTGACTTTTTCTACATTTTTTGATAAAGTAATCAAAAACAAATATTTATTTAAAAAATAAATATAGTAAAATTATAAGTTTCTATATTTTGATATTTTTCAATTACTGTATATTTATTATTATTATTATGTATCCAGAATTTTACAAAAAATAATTTATTTTGTATATTTTGTAGGCAATTTTTGATCCATTAGATGAAGTTATATCTTTAGTAGCTGCAATTGTTCATGATGTTGATCATCCAGGAAAAACAAGTGCGTTCCTCTGTAATTCTTCTAATAATCTTGCAATTTTATATAATGACTTGTGAGTATATATTTTATTTTCTTAATTAAAAGTTTATAGTAAAGAGTATAAAATTGTGTTATTTCTCTAAACAAACAGAATAAATTACATAAAAGTTTTGAAAAATTCTAGTGTCTATCAGTCATTTTGCATAATATGCAAAATAACAATTTCTGCATATTAAAAAGGTCATATGATATAAATTAATATCATATCATATATATTGTTTACATCATTGTAGATATTTTTTACTATACTATTTGAATAAATAGTGTACTTTTTAAACATATATGTTCTATAATCAAAGAGACAAGTTTCAGCAATGCTATTTTACTGTGAATCAAAACTTGGTGATAAAACAACAGAAATAGTTTATAGTATCTGTTAGGATTTTGGTCAGAATATTCATACTGATTATATGAAATGTAAATAATATGCAAAGTTTTGTGATGCAGAGGGGCTATTTAAAAATAACTTTGTATAAGACATTCAGTGACAATAAATTTGTATAAGACAGATGTGAAGATAAATGTTATAATTTAACATTTATGTCATAAAATGCATGTATCTATAAGCCTTTTACTGGTGCATGTTTCATCACACTATACAATAAAGTTACAAATGTTTTTGAACCATTACGGTTCTTCTTCAGCTAAAGACCTCCCTAATGGAATGCTCTTTGATTCAATGTTGCTATGAAATATGAACTGGAACGTTGTACCTGAAGAAGAACCGTAATGGTTCGAAAACATTTGTAAATTTATTGTATAGTGTGATGAGACACGCACTGGTAAAAGGCTTATAGATAAGTGCATTTTTACAGTACTCTGGTGTAGGTATTCTACCATTTATGTCATATCTGTTCCATTTTATGTAAAACACGTTGTGATTTAAACAGCATGTTTGGAATAATTTAATGTACTTTTTTAAAAATTGTAATTCAAATGGTATATGCTCAACCTGAAGATGACATTTTGAAATGTTGAAAGTACTTGTTTTTAATTAAATACTTTGAAAATAAATAACTTTAGTGCCAATACAGTTTGCTTTATTATTATTCTATATTTGGCATTGTAAAGAGCATATTTATATAGTTCATAATATTTCTATAATTCAAAAAACAGCAATTGTTAGATTAGAAATCTGAAAATATTTCTGATAAAATGAGTAAATCTAAAACTAATTTAAGTTAAAAATTTTTATCTTATGAAGTCACTTTAAAAATTTGAATAAGCTTAAATAAATATAAATTGTTTTCAGAACAGAATGCTAATGTAATTATTGAGAAAACCTTTTAGATAAAGGTTCATCATTATCACAATAAGAATTGTACCTAATAAATGGAAAGAATAGATGCCATAAAATCAAAAATCCTTATGAAATGAACTCCTAACATTTCTGTTATCTTTATATAGTTCATTATGTCTTTAGATGGCTTTTATATTAATATAACATAGCAGATTAATGATCATAGATATATTAAACAAATTTTAAATTTATTCATTCATAAAAATTAATTACTGTAATTTTATGCAGATAATCCATGGTGCTATATACACCAAAGAAAATTTCAAGAATGAAGATAAACCCTCACATAATCTTATGAAACACTTATACATTGATGATGATGTTTATTTTTATATTTATAAATATATTTAACTACAGTAATATGATTTCAAAATGCAAACAAATAAATATATCCTACTTTGATCTATCATTATTCCTTTCAAGTTAGATCAGACTCATGCAGTATATGCTTTTCTGTAGTATAATAGATCCTGTTACAAATTCAGGATTTAAAGATCAAAAATCATCCCCATTCCTGAAATGCAAAGAAATGCCTACAACTATAATGAGGAAAATAATTGCTTTAGACCTCTCTCTCTACTGTTAATAGTTATAAAATTATTTTTTATAATTTTTTCCAGAAATGTTTTATCATCAATTGTTGAATTATTTAACTTGAATGCTACTTAACAGATTTTGTATTCAAGATGTTTTATTACAAAAGTCTTGATTACAAAATTACAAAAAGTCAAAATATGTGATGATCTAGTTAATTTCTAATAAATAAATACTGGCCATAATGTTATGATTACAGATTCATCAACACCTGTGTGTGATGAATCTGTAATAGCAACATGAAGGCCAGCAGGCTCATAGTTATTTATTACTAATTAATAGATAATAACAGATTAGAAGCTTATATCCAATGATGATCTAATAACCATTTATTTCAGTTTATATACTTAAAAGTAGTGTGATAGTATTTTGTTCAAAATGTTTTAAGTGCAATTTTTTCATGAGATTTGCTTCTTTTAATGGTTTAATTTTGTAATGTAATATCAATTATTTTTAGAATTTTGTTGCAAATCAGATTTTAATATTTGTTCAGACTGTTTATGTTCTTTTGAGTTCATGATTGGAATTGGCATATAATCATCCTATCACATAACCTGCACTCCCTTCCAGATTATCTTTCAAACACAGATAACAGGAAATTATAGTATTCATAAAAATGCTTTATAGGAATACAATACAGGATGAGTGCATACAGAAATTTTTATTTTTTGCATAATTACATTAATTTTCAGGGTTTTTTTTTGGTTTAAAATATTAATAGAAATTTAATAATTCATAGTTTTAAAGTTATGAAAATAATCAAAGTTCTATAATATTTCAGCAAGTGCTTTATTTAAAATAAATCTTTTTGTTTTTCTATAAATCATTTTTTGGTTACATTGAACATCAAGTATTGAATGTATTGAATAGAAAAATCTTGTGTATTTACATAAAATCACATATTGCATCCCCTACAAGAAAAGTGTAACAAGTCAAAAATAGAAAATTTTTCAGGAGAGAGAAAAGAGAATTGCACATTTTAAAATTAACTATTTACAGTAGTATTAAATGTACTTTAAGTTAGAGCCAATCACAAATTGCTTGTTTCAAGTTCTCTGAAAGTAATATAGATAAAAATAAACACTACAAAAACCTAACAAACCAGCATGAAAATTGTACACAAAATGCAAATGTTTTTTGCCTGTGTTAAACAGGCATCATCAGCCAACAAACTGCTGTCAAACATTGGACAAAACATTTGCACTTTGTGTACAATTTTCTCACTGGGTTTGTTGTGTTTTTGCAGTGATTATTTTTGTCTAATATTAATCAGTTGTAAAGTAGCAGTTGTTAACTTAGTAATATATAATAGATATTGATTTTGTTATGGTGTTATGTTAGACATTTAAAAATTTGATTAGAGCCATTTTCAATCTATTCAGTTTTTGATTTATGACATTCAAAGATAATTGAATAATATATCATTTTGCTTTTTATTAGACTTTTATTTCAACATTTTACTTATATTACAATTCTAATAGAATATGTATGTTTGTTAAATATGTTCATTAAACTTATTATCAGAACAAGTTGTATATAAAAATATGTATAATATCATAATAAAGTAAACAACTAAACTAACTGAATAAAGAAGTTTAAAAAAATAATGTGAAAATGTTAGTATAACTTTCCAAAATATGCTTTGAGCAAATTAATTCTAAATCGTTCACTTTCTTCTTATCTATTGATAAGTTTTTGATTATGTTTGCTATAGGACAATATTAATGTTGACTTTTCTCTTTTGGACTTCTATTTCTCTAATTAAAATTCTTTAAAATAGTATTTGTTTCCTTTAAAAAAAATATTATGGCAAGGAACAAAAATTTAAAGGAAATGGGATTAGACTTTTTGGTTGTTTTTTCAGAAGGAGTAATGTATGCTTATTGTGTGCTTAGTTCTAAACACCCTATATATATAATACAGTAACACTACCATAAACCTAAATATGACAGTTTTCTGCTCAAGCTAAAGTTCTAATCAACACAAGATACAATATGTATAATTCTGTAACAAAATATTTTGTTATATTTTTTATTTAAAATTTCAGAATTAAGATGATTATTTAATATTGTCATATTTATTTTATATAATTAATATATTACTTTAATTACAATATATTTTAATTTTAATTAAGTTTTGTTCAATTTTAAGATAAAAACGAAATGTTTTGCAAAACCACCTTTCCTTATAAGAACTTTTTAGTGTAAGAAGAAAATATCATGTATCAGTATAATTCATGTGTTCTTATTTACTTTTATACAAAATCTTCATTCTGACTAATGTATGTTTTGCATCATTATGGAAGTTTGAAAATTTCCTTGCATTAGAAATCAATTTCACCATTTTTTACAATGTGAAACAGCTTGAATAATTGCTTTATAATTGTTATAATGCTGACTTCATGGTTGCTTCTTAATGAATCTAGACAGATGGATATCTGAAGAGGTTAGACTATACAGGGGATGAATTTGATTTCTTTTCATCCAACAGTAATTAAGGAACCCAATGGAAACAATGTTTAGGATATCAAAAATATTTCTCCGTCTCTTGCAATGCATAGTGATCCAAAAAGTGCCGAAATTTCTAATTATCGGGTGTTGATTCTCTTTTATAACACCATCAAGTCTGTTTATTTGTTAAAAGAAATTTGCAAGCAATCACTATTCTGGGGCTGATCTTTAATGTCTGTTTTACCATCTATATTTAATTAATTGCATGATCATATGATACTGCAAACACCCAGGCAAACTTTTCTATGCATGCCTTTTAGTTTTTGGTAAATATCAACTAAAAATTTCCTGCTTAATGAGGAATTCAGTCACTACATGTTGTCAAAACAACATATCATGCTAAATCTTATTAAAAGCCAACACACTGTTGTCTGTCATTTTCTCATACCACATTATTACAAATGACTGGTGAAAGTGATGTCATATTACACTGTAGAATAAGATGGCAGCTGTTACTATTAAAAAATTATATTGCACACTATTTTGTTGCCAATAAATATGATTACAGCCATATTTTCAGTACAACTCTTGTACTTACTGTAAAATTTTCCATTATGATTGATCATCTACCCTGTAACCTCATAATATGATTTCACTACAAGCATAATA